CTTTTCTTTTTTCCCTTTTTTTTTTTTTTAGTTTTTGCTAGAAGAGTATACATCGTGTACGTGTGTTTGATTCTTCGCTGAGCTGAGCCTCTCGTCTCAAGCCGAGATCCACATTTGATTCGCAACTCATTGCAACACTTGCTCCAACTTCCCTTCTTACTGTCCCTCTCTCGCCATTCCCATTTCTGATCGGATCGTTGAAAGAAAAAAAAAAAAAAGGACCTCGAGACATCTAAAATGAACGGCCAAAGCGCGACGAGGATCGTCGTGTTGGATCTTGTTCGAGGACGAATCGAGGATTTCGTTTCGTCGCGGACATTCGATTCGTTCGATGATTACAAAGATTAGATTAGAAAAATAATCCAGGCGCGAGGAGAGCTCTCTCTTTCTCGAGGCTCGATCGAAAATTGTTCCTTTTTTTTCTTTCTTTCTTTTTTTCTTTTTTTCTATCTAGCGAGGATCAACGATCCGAATATATCGAGAAAGTGGCCCGGGAACTGGGTCACCTTACACCGATGGACGTCTTCCGCCACGTACCAACCCTCGAAAGTCCTTACTCCTCCCTTCTCTCCCACTCAATTCAATCGATTCTTTCGCTCTACCTTTCTCTCTTTCTCTCTCTCCAATCTCTCTCCCTCTTTCTCTCTTTAACAATAGCAGGTACTAGCATAGCTACCACAGTCGTACGTATCGTTAATAGTTACAATTAAGTTTAGATATTACTATAAAGGGTACTGTTCTCCCACCTTGTCCCCTCTCGCCTCTGTTCCCCGCGATTTTTCCTCTTCCACCCACTTCCTCCTACCCTTATTAGTTCCGCGGTTAAAAAACACTTGTTTTTTTAGCACCCCCTCGCGCGGCCACCACAACTGCCGAATCGCTCGACAGTTTTTTAAGATTCGTCAAGATTTTCGAGGAAGAAGCCTCGACACGGCATCGTTTCTCTCCATTCTTCTCTTAAGGAGAGTCTCTTAACTTGTATCGAAGGAACTTTCTTCTCTCAGGGAGAATTTTCCGTCCGAGTTTCTGAAATTTTCGAATTCTCTTCAGAACACCGAACGAGTTATCCTTATCCCTCGACAAAATTTACCGCATCCGCGTCGAAGAAATCCGTTTTCGTTTTATCCAAAATTAGGAGAAAATTTCGTTCGACTGGAGAAAAAAAAAAGCGAGCAAAGACGTCGAGGATCGGTTGTGCCGGTCGATCGATACGCTCTCGGATCCGTGACGGAACGACCGCAGGAAGCTGGTTGCTCGGCGTCGATCATACAAAACTTGCTATATAAAAATCCGTACGAAAGAACGACGACGAAAGTTCACGCCTAAAAATTATACTACTTGTATACACTTACACGATACAAAGTTCACGCTAAAGTTCTTTTTTTTTTTCTTTTTTCGAAACTAGTCTAAGAGAGGACCGAGCGGATCGATCGACGCGAAACACGATCTTCTTCTTCTTCGTCTTTTTCTTTTTCTTACTTTGCGCGCGAGCAATTCGACAATCCATGACCGCGTTTATTCCGTACGTTTGTCCCACGACGACAAGATTAAACACTTTTTTTTAATACTTTTAGCACCTAGTGCCCGGCCCGCGGCTCGCGGCACCTCCGCCATTGTTGCTGTCGCAGCTTCTCGCGATTGCTCGACGGACGAAGCCGACCGTGACCCGATCTGACAAGCCGATGATCAAATAAGGAGAGGTTATGATTCATCCGTGCTATGCTCGGAGACTGGATCTTGGATTTGAAGCCCGAGGTCGAGCGTGGAGCGACGTAAGAGAGCGATCTTTTTCTTTAAAACCGACTTTATATATATTTATATGTTTCGAGCAAGTTCGAGTTTAAATTCATGGTAAATGAATTTTGTTTACTTGTGAAAAAAAACTACCAAGCGTAACTTTAAACTCAAATGTTTTTGTTAGAGAGCTAAGATAATTTTAATTCTTTCCCCACGGATCGATAAATATTCATAGAATTACAACGATCGCGAAGCCCCCGAACTATATTGCACTTCGATATATTGCACACGTTGGAAAAATAAAATGAATATTTGAATCCTGATACATAACTCCAGGCAAAACTTTCTTGAACGGATCGACGCCCGGAGGCGTGTTCGAGGTCACGAGCACGGTCGCATCTCCGGCCGTCGAGGACAGTAACAGCGGCCTTTAATAACGTAATCATCTAATTAATCTCGCGAACGCGAACCGGCTGGTTGCTCGCTGCTCCAAACCCTCTTCACCGTCGCGGCTTTGTTCCCTTTCGACGCGCCCTTTGTCCATCATCTTTGAACATCGTTGGACCAGGACTCCACCAACCACGCTAGTTCGAATAACTCCTAGAAAATGGCTCCTGTCAATGGGATCGAATAGATTAGAAACAGGAATTTAAGGAGATGAAAACAGGAAAATTAGGAAAGTTCGCGCGTTCGATCACAATTTTGAGAATGTTGCCCCGTTATGGACGAATCTAACGTCATTCGATTGTTCCGTTACGCGATAAAATAGGTTAGGTCGCGTCGAAAGAAAATCTTACAAGGGAAACGAACGGACTACGATAACCGAAAGCGTCGACCATGGTCGAGAACAAGTTCTTTTTAAGCTCAAATATTTTTTTTAAGCCCGTATAACGATCGCTTCTCGTTGACCGTTCTTCTCAAAGTTTTTTTTTTTTTTTCGTTTCTTCCTCTTCAATACGACGGTCGACTCTAACGCCACGGTGCGCTCACGGCCGTGAAGAGAAACTCCGGTTCCCTTGGCGGGGCAGCGACGCAACGCGGCCATATTCCCGTTCGCGCCACCACTACTTTTCTTCCCTTTTTCTATTCTCTTCTCTCTCTCTCTCTCTCTCTTCTCTTTCTCCTCTCCTTTGCTTCTTCGCTTTTTTCAATTTTTTTTTTCTCTCCTACGTTCTACTGCATTTATTATAAAAATAAAATGTAAAATCGTACCGAGGACGAGTTTTCCGAACGGTATGGAACTGCGAGCACCATCTGCGACTCGATCGAGAAAGAATCCCACCGGCAGCCGTGTTACATATATAATATATATCATCGTCCTCTTCGCTTTTCTAACACCGCCACATTTTCAAAGATCGTCCTTCTTCTTCCTCTTCGATTCGGTCGTCGGTTTTTCCCCTCCCCCCGAATCGGACAAATGTGCGTAAGAGGAATAATCTAGCAGAAGATGCGTCACGATTAAACAGCTTTCCCGGATGTTCGTTCGTCGACGCTTCGACAGACCGGATACTGGTAGTCCCTACACCGTTTCGCGACAACCCGCGAAGTGAGTGCATATTTTGAATATAATACATAGGCTCTACAGATATATTCAATATCAATTCTCCGACTATACCAGTGAAAAAATAATTATTACACGTTGGTAATATCTGTGTGTACGTGTTGGTGAAGTCGTGCGCGATATTAAGTGTCCGCACACCCCGTTCTCAATGTGTCTTTGCCACGGACGCGTGATGCCTCCGTGTGTATGTGTGTTTGTGTGTGTGTATATATATATATATACATATATATGTATGCATACCTTCCATGTCTCTATATATATATATATATATATATACTCGTATATACTCGTGATCGTGTCACCACGCCACCACCAGGCGGGGCGTTTCCGTGTGTTCACGTGGCAAATGTAGATACAATGTATATATGTATAAATATATATACATATATATATATATGCATGTGTATATGTATATAGGTCGCCAGGTAAACGGTTGGGAGTGAGTGTGTCCGCTGCGTATGAATCTGGCCCGTGTGGAATTTTATGTACGCGTCGCGTACGAATTTGTACGTGTCTCTTGGCTCTTTCGCTGTCCCAGGTGTGGGCGCATGGCGCATCGTTCGATCTTTTCATCTTTCTCTCTCTTTCTCTCTCACTCTCTCCTTCCATCCTTCTTCAAGCATATCACGAATTGGTCTCTCTGTGATCTCTACGTAGAGTACGCGTCTTATATACACGCAATTCCATTTTTACGCAACCGTACGGTTATCTCAAGATTTATTCGTCTCAAGATGGCTGCCGACCAAATTAGTCTGAAACACAAGTGGTAGCCATTCGTCGAACGACAAACGCCATCGCGCAATCGGATCCATGGTGTCCGTGTTGTTGTTCCTGTTTTTCGGTTACAGAATGTTTAAGATACACGCGGCTTTTCTTATATATATATATATATGTGTGTGTGTATGTTAGTCGGTCGCAAAGTTCGCGTTCGCGAGTACCGTCGCATCGAACAATCCCACCTCCTCTTCTTTCGTTCCTCCGCTTCTTCTCTCCTTCAGAACGTGTTCCACGCACGCTTCAGGCTCACCGAACACGAATCCCCCTATACACGCTCTATATAATCTCACTCTCGCTCTAACTCTCGTTCTCTCCCTCTTTCGTTCTCTTTCGTTCTCCCTCTTTCACGCTCGCTTCCTCTCTCTCTCTTTCTCTCTCTTTCACTTTCTCCACGTCCACATCGCGCCGTCTTGATGCTCTCGCGCGCGTCGACCTCGGTGTTGTCCATCTTCCATCGCGTTCGTCCTCTTCCTCTCTCCCTGTCTCCCTGTTTCGCGCACGTTGTTCGCACGCGTAAGATCGAGCGGATCGCCATATTCGAGAGAGAGAGAGAGAGAGCGAGAGAGAGAGCACACCGCACAGCAACATCAGCACGCTCCCTCTGCGCACCGATTCTCTCTCTGTCTCTCTGTCCCTCCCGAAAGATCGGAGAAGAAATCGAACGAGAAGACAGGAGTCGATGAGCTTCAGGCGTCGTCGCGATGATCCGGCGATCCTCGAAGGGGCGGGGAGGGGGAGGGGGAGGGGGGCTGAGTCTATCGTTGCACTAGCAATGCAGAACTACCGACCTTTGCCGCTTGTTGTTGTTGTTGTTGTTGTTGTTGTTGTTGTTGCTTGGACGCTCGTTTCGCCAGGAGAGAGACAGAGTGGGGGAACTCTATATAGCGTGGGGGTGAGTGAGCAGGAAGGTGAGCTCCGATCGGATGGTGCAAGCGAAATCTGGTTGTACTGGTTGTGTGTCTGTGTCTCTGTGTGTGTGTGTGTGTGTGTGTGTGTGTGTGTGTGTGTGTATTACGTGTGTCAGGGTACGGAACCTAGACTCTGGACGACGAAGACGTCTCGACGCACGAATAGAGGCTGGAACGTGGCACCCGTTCACTCACGCTCGCACGGCCCGGCCTCTCATACTATCCTCCCCGTCTCCCCTTCCTGTCCTGTGAAGCAGCAGAGGATCAGACGCGACTCGAGCCGCTCGGTCTCCACTCGCGCGGGGTATTAGTTGGCTACGAGGAGGTGCTGGTACTGGCTGGCCGGGTACGGCGCCACTGAGCCAAGGCCAAAGTTGTTCAGCCCCTCGACGAGCGCTGTCTTGTCCTGCTGCTGCCCGGACCCGTTCACGTTGCTGTTCGTCGCCGCTGACCCGACCGGGCCCAGATTCCCGGCGCTCTGCGAGTTCCCGTTGCTGCCCGCCGCGTTGCTCGTTCCGTTCACGCTTCCACCGTAGAACTGGTGGCCGGCGATCGTGGTCGGGTCGAGATAGGACGACGGGAAGTTGACGCCTGTGTAGAGATCGGCGGACAGGTAGCCGCCGTGGCTGGACGAGTCGAAGATGTTGCGATGGGGGAATTGGGGATGATAGGCGGCCGGCCCGTGCTGGAAGAAGTACGCGCTTGGATCCGTGTGCTGTTGCCCGCCACCCGCCACTATGCTTCCGGGCGAGAGGCTGCGGCTTCGGGGCGAGCTTTGCGACACGGGCAGCCCGCCGCCGCGGCCGCTTGCTGCTGCTGCTGCTGTTGCTGCTGCTGTTGCTGCTGCTGCTGCTGCTGGTGCTGGTGGTGGTGGTGGTGGTGGATCTGTTGCTGCATGGCCCGCTGCTTGATGTAGTTCGAGAACTCGGTCGGGGACATTCTGAAAGCAACACGGTTACGTGCGGTTCATCTGTCTGCTGCTATTGCCAGTTTGCCATTGCGGTCGGGGAGGGGGGGATGGGAGGGGAGGAAGGCGATTGTTCGGTCGTGTATCTCAACCCTTTCGGTGTTAAGATTGCACTCGGGTATGCGGGCTAGGTTAACCATCCTAGCTGTGTGATCACTGCGTGGCGTGAGGCAAGTTCATCGGATGGAAATCGTACGTGTATGTGTCTTGGGAATTTGAAGGGTGAAAGGTAAAGGGGACCGTATCTCGGAGACCATTCCGTGTTATAAAGTTCGAAGCCAGTTTGACTTGGCTCGGTTTCGAACGGTGGTTCTGAAAAAACTTTTTCGTCTTTTCAAAATTTTCACGATTTTAACTCATTAAGGACCGAATACTGATATAATGCACGCAAAAGCTCAGTGCACAAAATCAAAGAAAGAAAGAATGTTCACCATGGTGCTATAAATATCTTAATTCGACGGAGCGAAAGAAATAGCGACGAAAAAAATTTTACAATCCCTTGCGAATCCCCCTTTCATAACTCTCAATGTTAAAAGGCACAGCTCAATAATTTAATCTGGCTGAAAATAAATTGCGCATCGGTTCTCAATGGATTAATATCGCGTGAGCGAATGCTTAACGTAAAATTGATCCATGATTTCCTACATCGTCTTCCTACTTCCTTACAATTACCTTCTCTCTCTTTACAAACACATCTCTAGAAAAACTGTGCACATCTCTAGAACCACCAACCTGTTCGCTCGTTTGCTGCTCGTCTTCAACTTGGTGCTTCCGAACTTGGTCTGCGCGAATGTGGCCGTGGTGAAGGTGAGCGGCGCCGTGGTTCGCGGGATGAATCCTGGAACGGGGCTGGGCGAGCCCTTGAACGAGGTGGTGATGGGGGTCGGCGACGGTGCCGACGAGGAACCGGATCCGTGGCCGCTCTGCTGGTTGTTCGACGACCCGTTGCTCGCGTTGCTGCCCAGCGAGCTTGGGAACGGGGACGTGGACTTGGGGCTAAGGCTGAGCCCGCCCAACGACGTGCCCACGGCCTCGATGGGCCTGAAGCACTGGGCCTCGGGGTTGAACGTCTTGGTCACCTCTCGGTCGGCCGAGCTCTCGTCGTGCGGGTCGCCCGTCTCCGAGTAGAGGATCTTGACCGCGTTCATCTCGCCGATGCGGTAGCTCACCTCACCGGGATCGACCCACACGGCCAACTCCGCTGGAAGGTTCTCCAAGATGTCCTGGATGGGCACGCCGCTCTCTTTCGCCGCCTTCTCCAGCACCGGGTCGACCGGGTCGCCCGTCTTCAAACATCTGAACGCCGATCCCTTGAAAGGCTTCTCGGGGTACCAGTGGCCCTTGAACTTGTCCTTGAGCGCCTTCTCCAGCTCCTCGCCGAAGATGTTCACCCGCCTTCGCGGCAGTTTGTTGTAGAGGTACGATATCACGAAGTTGAGCGCCACCTGCACCTCGATGTGCATCTTGCCCTTTGCTGGGAGAATCTTCGGGCTGTTGTTTGTCCTCGCAGCCGCGGAATAGTACTCAGCACCCTCGCACGATCGGCCGTCTTGCCGTCAACGACTCGCGACCCCTCGACCACGCGCCACTAGACGACACGGCCGTCCACTGTGCGGCGTCTAGGTGTTTGAGATTGGCCCGTTGCCCTCGTCTCGGTGGACAGATAGATCCCGCCTGACTGCAACGTGAAATCGGAAATTTTTCGTTAGACGAGTTGTCGCTAATTAATTTACAATATATTAGATTTATAAAATTGGTAACTTTTTCCAATATATATTTCAAAAGAATTTCGAAAGAACGAGAGACAGGGAGAAAGACTTTATCGTCGTACGTAAAGTGTTTAATACCATTATATTAGATATTATATTCGGCCGCGTTCCAAAGAATTGAAAAGAGACTGCCTTTAACGAGTCTCGAACGAGGGGGGAAAAAGGTTGGTATAAAAATTCGCGAGCGACGCACAAAGAAAGAAGCACAGCCCTCTTCCATCGGCTGTGTCGAGTGGTTTTTCGACGAGTGGCGAAATCACATTAAAAGAGTGGAGTATCTTCGAAAGGCTTTCACCCCGGCTGGGCCCCGCGTTATCGGCTCCTTTTCACGATCGCGCATTGATACGGAACACCGCTTCCGGTTACTCGACCCACTCCTTCTCGCCCTCTGAACAGAGTCGAACGAGAGCCAATCGTTTCGTATTCGCATAATACTCTTTCCCCGACAAAGCCCTCTTACCTGAATCCTCGTCCCTCTTTCTCGCTTTATCTGCCCGGAATAATTTGGAACTCGAACGGCGGCGTGAGAATTTTAACGATTGTTAAGATGGGAACATCTTCTTTGAACGTGGCTATGAAAACTATATTGAATACAGTCGCGACGAATAGAATGGAACTTCAATTGGACTTCAATCTCGTCCCCTAAGAGCAACAAGAACAACTATTCGAAATTTCGACTCTACGATCGTCCTATCCGAAACGTTCACGAGATTCACCCGTTCAAAGTTTCGTCCATTCGCGTGTCCACTTCCGACAAAAATGCTTAATGGGTGGAGAAGCACTCAGACGGCGTAACCGTTCTTCAAGATCCTCGTTTCCGGTCGAGCAGTCGGCTAAAAAGACGTCCGAGAAACTCGCAAAGAAGAGCGGTAAGTGCATCACCCGAACCGTCTTGCAACCCTCTTCGGTTAAGTTCGAGTGTTCGTCCACTGTGAAGCGCGGTGGAGCGCGTATCAAGAAGAATATTCAGCTGGTCGCGCGATTGACCGGCGAGACAAACGCCAATGAAAGGGATTGCAGTCACTGCCTTGGCCGAGTGGCCATCTTCCGCAACCGGCGTCTCGTCGCAATTGCGGAAGTTGCTCTCTGAACCCGAACGATATCGAGAGGGAAAGGACGCCCTTTCTTTTCCTAGCTCTCCTATCCTTTTGTGTTCGTTTCTCTCCCTTTGTCTCTCGTCAACGCGTCATGTCACTCTCTCTTCTTCTCTATCTTCTCTATCCACGTGTCTTTTGTCTCAAACACACGGTCGGTACACAGGTCGGTTCTATTATTCGTTCTTTGAGGATTGGTAGGTGAGGATCGAGGCTCTTAGGCACATCGTGTCCTTCGATTCCACGGTGATGGTCTCTTTCTCTTTTTCTCGGAAGAGAAAGAAGGAGAGAGTTGTAAAGAGTTCAGTGAACTGGCAGCCATTTTGTAAACGTGAGAGAACGTCGGTATGTACCGTTCCTCTTCTGTTCTGGGTCTTTTTTTAAGACTTAGTATAGAGTTATTTAATAATATTAAATTATAGTAATATCTATTAAATCATAATTTATTAAATTATAATAATTAATATTATTAATATCATTAATATTATTAATGTTATAAATTATAATAATATTATTAATAATGATATTTATATTTAATACTTTTTTATCTTAACTTTCGTATTTGTTTCTCTAGAATCAATCGATCCAAAGATGTTAAGATTAAAAATTATACGTATTTAAAATTACGAAGCATGTAATAGCCAGGTGAAAACGAATGGAACGCAAGTTAAAAAGGAGAAAAGAGAAGAGAAAAGAAAATTGTAGGTTAAATAATATTTGAATGGAAACGGTTAACTCGTTTCTCTCTTTCCAGTCTCGTCCTTCTGCAACAGCAACGTATACAGGGGCGAGTTCCGCCCCTTCCAGTCGAAACATAGAGCGGTAGACAACGCGTGGTATTTTTCAATTACGCGACTACACGCCGTCTTTTGCGGTCTCCGTGCGGCTCGTTCGCACACCCTGGCTGCGGTTTAAACGTGAAAAAAACGCCACCACCATGGTCGTTTTAACGGTGAATAAATAACCGGCGATGTTTGAATTTTCTGCCGGAAGTCGTGCCGCATCTAGCGTCGCGCGGTAAGTGGAATCGAAACGTTGGAGGGAAGATTAAACTATTTAATTTACGTTACGACGCTTGAATTTTTCATCCATCGTCCTTTTCCTCCATCATTCTATATCATCTCTCGAGCAATCTATATATTTGTCTAATTTTTTAAAATGATAAATTCGATTTGTTTTTGATCGAGAAAATTTTTCTAATTCGTTTGAAGAAATTTGAATACGAATACTATAATTCGTTCGATTTGAATTTTGATGTCTCGTTTAGAAAAAGAACAAAAGAGCATGCTAGTATTATAGTTTTGCTTAAAGCGTATGCTCTGTTCTATAGAGGATTAATAGTGCGTGGATCAGTATGCGGATGAATCAAAGTTGAATAGGAAGTGAATGAATTGAACACATACACTTCATTCTCGGTTGGCATTGACGTTACAATTTAGGGTTTGTGCAACCTTTACACACCGCTACTTGTACAAATTAGCCGACTTGATTTATATAACTCGTTTACAATGCGCCGAGCCATTTTTGTTTCCGTTCTCATACTTGTTTCTTTTTAATTCTCATCGATCCTTCCCCTCCACTCCAACAGACATCCAACTCTATCTATTCTTTTGTAAATCAATTTCGGAAAAGTAAAATATTTTTTTTACTTTGATCGAAAATTCGTTTCAAATATATATATCGTTTTGAAAGAAAAACTCACTTTTGTTTTAGAAAAATCTGTGAACAAGTCAACAAATATTTTAAAACCGTTTCATCAATCTTTTCACCAACGATAATTCCATCGCAAATCAATTTCCACTTCGAAATTGAAACACACAGGGTATTGAAATAACATTGTGCAACGCGATTGTAATTCCATTACAAGCAACGTAATAGCGCTTCAAAAAAAAAAAAAAAAGCTAAATCGATTTTTCCAGAATAATCCGACCGCCCTAAACGTTTTCGCCTCGAAAAATTAAAACGCATTCGCATTTCGATCGATCCGCTCGAAAATGACCAAAACCATCTCGAGAGTGGCCTTGTTTCGTTTCTCTCTCCTATCTAAACACCATCGCTCGAAACGACGCAGCAAAAGTTCATTCCTCAAGAGCCGTCGATACTTGCCAAGAGACGGAAGCTGAAACCGCCCTCCCCATCACCACCACCACTCTCGTCACCGTCCAAAAGGAAAATGTTTTCGTTCCAGCCAACTCCTCCTCGGGCGGTCGTTGCTGGATATGTAGGTTAACCCCGCTGCACCCTTTCTGCCTCTCCAGTAGTACTACACTACGACGACACGGGGTTGCCGGTGGTATTGATCCCACGACCAGGGTTGCCGGAAGGTTCTCAAGTTAAAAATACACGGCCTTACGGAGTCGCGCGGCTTTGCCAACCGTTTTCGTGCCCTCTCCTTTCGCGCACTGGATATTTTCTCTTACGGAGAGCTCCTCCAATAAAGGGAGAGAGAGGAGGAGGAGGAGGAGTTGAGGGACGATTAAAGGTGACTGATAATTATCGTCGAAGCGAGCCTCGTTGTCCAAGTTTCTCGCGACCTCGAGCGTTTTACCGACGCGGTCTCAACAACTTATTAAACAACCGCAACCCCTACTAATTAAGAGACAAGACACTCGTCCCGTGCCTGTGGCGGCAATTAAAAAAAAAAGAAAAAAAAACGAATCGAGTCCAGGGCTGAACGTGTGGAGAATTTTAGGGAAGATGTGAATTTTTAGAAGGGTTTCTTTCTTCTTCTTCTTCTTCTTTTTTTTTTTTTTCTTTTAATCAGATGGAAAAGAAGGTTACGAGGTATTTGTCATAATGTTGGAGGGGGTTGATAGTCTCTGCTGCCATCGAAGCGGAGCGGTGGCGTGAACGGGTATTTCGAGAAGAGTCGATGACGAGTGAAGGAAGGAAGGAAGTGAGCGGTGGATGGATCGAAAGTGGGTTCGAGCGATACGCGACGCGAGTTAGTAGGAAATAAGATCGAAGTAGGCTTGAAATTGGATGGGAATAGGCCCAAACGGGGAGTCGAAGTGGGGCATCGTGTCGAATGGGGTAAAAGTAGAAGGCCGAAGTAGGGCTGGCGTTAATGATAGTCGTCTTTAGAGAATTTGGGGCGTAATTTCAACTGTATTTTTTCGTTGGACGTTTCGCGAACTTTAAGAGCGAGTGGGTAATTTTAATCGGGCAAGATGGACAATTTAGATTTAGATGGAGGCTACTGATTTTTAATCGTCGATTTAATCTATCTATAATTTCAATTTTATTTATTTCCATTTCGTTATTGCAAACGAACGTTTCGAAAAATGTAAAAATCGACAAAACAGAATGTCGAAACCCCTGACTCGAAAAAAAATTATGACGACGAAAGGGATGTTGATTATTAACCTTACGAACACGCGTCAAGTGAGGCTGTCGACCACAGACGGCGGAAGCTTTGGCGAAGGGTGACGCGGGGTGATTCAAAGGACACCCTTTTTTTCCCCGTGAAACCTTGAGGGTGAGAACTCCAGAGATTGGTTGCAGGTGCGCGTAAAGACCCACGAGTACGCCCTTTCCCGGCCGCCTGCTGAATGGAGGCCACGTGGCACTCAAGGGGCACCGAATATGGGCCAGAGAAGTGTTCTTCACCGAGAGAACCAAGTCAATGGAGCACGAATCCATCCGATCCCATCTTTCCCCCCTCTTCTTCGTTCTATTTCTTCTTATTCTCTCTCTCTCTCTCTCTCTCTTTGCTTCTTCTCTTTCGATTTCCTCCTCTCATTTTCTTTTCTCCACTTCCCCTTTATTTTACTACATTTTATTCACGGCGAGAGGAATCGAAGAAGAAGAAGAAGAATCGTGACGCGTATCGAGTGGTTCTCCCTCTCTCGAGAGAGAGAAAGGGGAGAAAGAGAGAGGTTGACGGCGTCGTCTCGATGAACGACGCGTAATTGCGCATCCGTGCATGCAGGGGGAACTGTGCCGAGCGCTCCACGTGGTGCTCGACCGCGATGGAATCGATTTTAGGAAGGCGAGCCGCTGTTTTCCCTCCCAGAATTCTCTCCGACTTCTCTCTCTCTCTCTCTCTCTTCTCTCTCGTGGATGCATGCACGAGCAGATTTCCGTTAAATGTTTCTCGCGGGGGATTATATCGTTCCACTTTGAAACTGTAATATAGCGAAATGCGACGAGACTTGGCGATTTTCCGATTCTTTTTTCTTCTCTCTCTCTCTCTCTCTTCTTCCGTCGTTGAGAACGAATATTTTGCTACGATATTTCAGAACGAGAGAATCGAGCCATATCATTTTTTTTATTATCATCGTACGTGGGATATAGGAAAATATTGGAACACCGTGAAATTGAAAAACGGTGCAGATTATAATATATATATATTCTGTTTTGCAAAATCAGAAGAAAGAAATTTAACGAATTGTAATTATCGCGACGTGTTAACAATTCTTTCGCGCATTCTCGAAGATTCCCGTGGAAGAAAAGTATTCGTCGAATGGAGAAGACGGGAGAGGCAGGGGGAGGATTTAATTACGGCTCGACCCAGATAGGGTCAAGACACACGGGTGCTCGACCCGACCTAGCCACCCCTGCCGACGTGGAAAGGTGTTTAAATTGCTCCCTCGTCAAACGCGAAACTAGCCACTGAAAAATACCACGGTATTCAAACGAGGGGAGACGAGAGGAACAAACGTAACACGATTACTTTGCTACACGTTTATTCAACGCGAGGAATAACTCTCCAAGGAATACTTTCTCGTTAAAATCTCGTTTCTAAAAAAAAAAAAAAAAAAAATAATCGTCAGAAACGTCTTTCCACGCCAATCCCTCCCTCCCCATCCCTCGAATCTGTTCAACGACAACCCGATACACCCGACTGACTAACTAACTAACTAACTAACTAACTAACTAACCAACCAACCCCTAAATGTAGCAGAAGCCAAACACACAACGCGACACAACAAGTTAGAATTAGGTTGCGGATGAAGGATCCTTCACTCGGAGTCGCTCCAAGTTTCCAAACTTTGCCCACCTCCTCCCCGTCGTCCTGTCTTCGATTCGGGGAAAATTCAAGGCTGCCGCGACGTTGCCCTCCCCTCCCGCTCGTCAAACTCGTCGACGATGGCAACGTTGCTACGGCGAATCGGCGTAGCGACGCGGCTGCCACTGGCAACTCTCCGATTACTCTATTCTGACAATGAATAGGCGGGGGGAGGGGGAAGGAAACAGTGCGGAATCGAGGTTACGTAACGACCGGTTATACAACGGATCGGACACGTGCGCCGCGATGGCGACGTTTTAAAGGTCGTGGTTGCACGGAGTCGCGAATAAACAAATCGGCGAACGCGTCAGGGTGATATCGATTCGCGCCTCCATTTTGCCGCATGTCTCCGACATTCCCCGATTTTCGGCCGTGTCACGCGAGAACGTGTCACTTTTCTCTATTCTATATTCTTTCCTCCTCCTCGAGAGAGAGGAGAAGATTTTCGAGAATTAATCGATACGATTAATCGATGGAAATTTTTCAGGTTTTAGGGGAAGAGTGGATTTGGGGCGAGTTGTGAGGATAAAAAAGAAGCACGCGTGGAAATTTATTGGAAAAGTATTCGAAGGAAGTTCACGTATTGTAACGTAGAGCGGTGGATGTTGATGGTTGGATTTTGGGGTGATTGTAAACGAGAATTGCGAAACGCGTTGAAAATCTTTGGTGCATGGAATAAATAAAGATTAGGGAAGATTTTTATTTTATTTAATCGTCGAGGATTGTTGAAAAGGTATAACATCGGGAAGTAAGGAGGAGTAAAAAGGAAAAGTAATTCGAAGCGTGTTCGATGCCACAATCGACAATACGTAATACGTTTCTAATTTTCTTGTTTCCTCTCAAGTAAAGAAGATTGTCGATTGTGTTACGAGGGTTTACCGAAGGAATTGAAACCTTTCAACCGGAGCTTTGCTCAATTACGGAACTTTGACGTCCGTCGATACGATCTTTTTCGAAACCACGTTTGAAAAGAGCCGCATCGAAAGCGCATCGAGCATTTTTCATTCAGTTTCTCGTCCGTTCCAGCTTCTCTTCTCTTCTCTTCTCGGCCTAGGAAATTTATTTCTGCTACGTAAGCGCGATTCCATTGAAATCCTTCCATCGCAATCCTTCTACGTGGAACGAAGACACGAACTCTGTTAATTATTCCTTTTAATAAAAGTAAGTACACATTTCTCGGGAAACAATAATAGGAAAGGATAATAACGCGGTTTGCACTATGATTTTATGCCGTTAGGAGAATCGTACAAGTAGCTTTACGACGAATGGAATATTATAAAATATGCAAAACGAATCGTGCCTCGTTTCTTCATCTCTCTTCTTTTTTTTTTTTTCCTTATTTTTAATGCAAAAGATCTTTTTCTTTATCGTGCACGTTACCTCGTAAACACGCCTCTATTTCTTTATAATATTAATTTTGAAATATATACGAATAATAAAAATCGAAATAAATCAGAGATAATTCATTCAAAGTATAATACTCGATGCGTCTATTGAGATAATTTTTAACAACTTCGAGAGGAAAATCAAATCGAATGTTATTATATAAATATAAAGATAATCTTATAGACTCGAAAAAAAAGAAAAAAGCACAAACGTTTAAATATCCCTCGATTCCTCTAGTTTCCTTCTTATCCTTCTTAACGAAAAATTAGCTTTTAACGATCAGCATTCCGTTTCGCGTCAACACTCATCACATCAGCCGGAGAGACACGTGCGTAACAAGTCGCGTGATGTCGCGACGTCAACATTCGAGAAACGAGTCGGTCGGTTGGGGGTTAAATATCCCGTCTAATTAATAACCTTCGCACGTGACCGAGAAACGTCGTGGTTTTTCGCTCCTCCGACATTCCGTCCAACAATCTTCTCGATTCGATCTCGTCCATTTTTCCGATTTCGCAACGGAACGGCGCCACGACGGGAATACAAATGGTGGAATTTTCGTTCGGGGCCAACGCACGAGCCGCCTTTTTACGAATTCGTCGACGCGCTTACGTCGCTCGTAACAATCGTCTCGTCGCCCTTGAATTTCGATGCGGAACCGGATTCCATCGAATCGATCGAGCGATTCGTCACGGTTCCGTTTCATTCGGTGACGCGCGGCTGTATTTTATTACGAATTTTAAATATTTCGATTCGATCGATACGAAACTCCAGCTCTTCTCTCGCCATATCGAAACACGCGAAGGATGGACAGAAACGATTCGATCGAGAGAAAAAAAAAAAACAAACGTACACACTTTTCACGATTTATAATCTCTTTAAATTTAATTCGAATAAAAGGAAAAAAAAAAGATATTAAAAAACATGTTCGATCGTTTTAAATCGAAATTCGAACACTGGCGACAAAGATGCGCCAGTAAACTCGCCATCTGAACGAACGAATGGAGAGAAAAAAGGGAGAAGAAGAAGAAGAGGAATAAGAAGCGGCGTTTTCGGTACGCGACGTTTCATCTCGCGGCTCCAATTAATCGCCAAAGGGTAGAGGAGAGGGTGGTTTTCAGCCCCGGATCGATCCCGCGCGTGACCGAATTACCGAAAGGGAGAGAAGAGAGGCGTCGCGGTCTTCGATCGGATCTTCTCTCCGAGGCGTCGAATCATCTCGCCGCCGTTGCCTCGCGATAAATTACCGAGAGGGAGGGCTTCCTCCCTCCGCTTCTCTCTCTCTCTCTTCTTCCCTCTTTCTCCCTCTCTCTTTCCTCTCGACCGACCGAGCGACAGATCAATACGACACAGCCTCCGCAGACACCGTTGGACCGTTGTTGCTCCAGATAACAACGGAGCGAGAGGGAGAGAAATGGAGGATGAGAGGGAGGAAGAGGGAAAAGTGGCCTATAAGCCTCTATTTAAATAGCGGCCTAAATCCGACAGGGAGGACGCCCTCTCGCGAGATACGGAGAGAGTGGAGGAGGAGGAAAGGACCCGACCTGGGTCAATCCCTTCGAATTCGCTCCCTCTTCCGGAAATTACCGTGCCACCGATGGGGATTTCGATTGAATATCGACGAGTTGGAATCATTTTCCCTTCCTTTTTCCCTTTTGGACAGTTGAGACTCGATCTTCGATGAGAGATCGTGTTCTTTTCTTTTTTTTTTTTATTGAATTTTTGCGATCAGGTTTCGATTTTACTAAGAAATTATATATGCATATGTATAGATGATTTATATTTTTTCCAGTGGAGAGAAAAAAATCAATCGATTCGACAAATTGGGCGATAAAAAAGATCGCGACGAAGCATCATCTTGCAAACTGTGTGTTCGAAGATTGATGGAAAAAGAGGAAATACTTGTTAGAAAAAGAGGTGGAGAAAGAATAAAGTCCTCGAGAGATGATGATCGAGGCTCGAGAACGCGGAAGCGAAAGCACAGCTCGCTCGATAATTTCGTCGTCTGGAGCCGAGCGTTTGAATCGGCGACCGCGAAGTTAATAGCTAAAAAGAGAGTATCGGGCCGATGGCGAGGCAATAGGAATAAAAGATGGAAGACGAAGAAGAAAAGGCAGGACCATTATCCGGGAAAATACCGGGTGGTTGTCATCTTCAGGAGCCTGGCTCTGGACGATCCAGAGATTCGCCTTGTTATTTCACGTGGTATTCGTGACCGTCTCGCGATCTAATCGAAGATCCACCATCGTTTTTCGAACGGTTTCGAACAGGAAACGACGAGATTTAATCGAAATAACGATCTATTTTATTTTCTCGAAGAGGGATCGAACGGTTGATGAAGAAAGAATCGTTTTCTGGCATTGATCTTTCGACGCGTGGCGCATTAAACTTTTCGCGGTTCCATATTTTCGATGTTGGTCGAAGGAGTTTATACGAATTTGTCGGCGCGGAACCACGAATCGAGGGCAATGAAAATGTTCTCCGCTCGACGTGGGTAAATATTGTGGCGATCTTTGGACGAGGTGAACGAGTTATTTATACGATAAACTTATCTCGAGTTTAGAATATCAAGCTTCCATTGGACTCGATTTAAGTAATTGATGAACGAATTAAAGTGTATTGGTTATAGAAGATATTTTATAAATCGAAGATTGGTATCGAAACTCGATGATATAACTTGTTAA